TGTTCACAGTTTTCTCAAGACAACCTTTATGCCGCCATACAAGTAGAGGAGGAGGAAGAAAAAGGCAATCATGAGGATGTTGAGGAGCATACAGAAGTTGTCATAGAAAGCTCCCATGATAATCATGATCAAGTGTATCCTTTGGTGGTAGATCATAACTTTCACCATTTCCGCTCTGACATGCTGGGCTCGAGTGAGGAGATGCAAGCTGAACTTATCGAGAACCTTGCATGGAGACTTGCTCTCCAATTCGTGCTGGAAGAAGAAGAGCAAGAAAGGGTGCAGAAAGAAGTTGTGGAGGATGACAAAAGTGAAGCAGAAGGAGTTCTTGATCTTTTCTCAGGGGTGATACCACATGAAGAAGAAAGGGAGGTTGAAGAAGCAATTGGCGTCCAGGCTGAGGACGGAGTTAAGGTGGAAGAGGCCTGCACCGGCCATGAGTTACATGTGATATCCCCACCAAACTTCGAGGAGCTGCTTGGCAAGGACCCATTTGCAGTGTCTCTTTGCCAGACCAAGGCCACATCGACATCGGTCCCTCTTGGTGGACGCGATGGTGGCCAATCGATGCTGTCTTATCTGGTTTGGGGCAATGAGACGAGAGAAGAGAAGAAGAGGTCTCGAGGGTGGAGACTTCATCTGCATCAAGTACATGAGCCTTCATCACCTGCCACATCACATGCTCATGACTTGAGACTCCACCTCATCGACGAGAACCTCAACTTCAAGGAGGTTCTAGCATGGACCGAAACTTAGGAGCCATCGTCCGGCTCACGACGTGAAAGAAGCGCTTGTTGGGAGACAATTTCATTTTCCATTTTTTTTGTCAATAGATCACTCTTCAAAAGAGGAAATCGTTTAGATACAAAGTCACAGAGTGGATCAAACATCCCTCGAACGAAACCAAGAACAAAAGTCGAACCTCTCTAACATTTGAGGCGACAAACTAAGAGCTTTACGGGCCACACAATGAGCCGCTCTATTTCGAACTCTTCCCAAGAACTGAACTTGAGAATTGACCACCCCATCCAAAATACCCAAAATATCTTGCAGAATCACCCCGATCTTGCTATCATCCACATCCTAGCCAAGCACTTATCTATAATCAACTTGGCATCACCCTCAAATAAAACACCTTGTAGCTGCCATTGGAAACAATAGATAAGACAGTCTCTTAACCCCAAAGCCTCAAGCACATAAGGATCTGAAATATCATCGTAGCGACGAGCAGCAGCTCCAAAGAAAGCACCCAATGGATCGAACAAAACAAAACCAATGGTTCCAAATCCCTGAGTAGAAGTCGCAGCATCAAAATTTGCTCGCCAACACAGAGCCTGTTGGAAAACCTGCAGATGGGTAGAAGAAGGTTGCACCATCCTATTAGCAGAAGGGAGCAACATTGCTGCTCGTATTCTTGAACTTGACGAGACCATTGAGCAGCCAAAGCAAGGAGATGTAATTCCTTTGATTGGAACACCACCATACACCGATTATTCCATAATCTCCACAATAAACAAATCACCTGTAAAATGAATTAATCGGCCTCGGAACCCATAGCTTGGCTGAAGGTATAGCGAATAAATCGCACAAAGGACTTTTTCTCTGCATGTTGCCAAAAAGCCTGCAGACCCAGCAACCTCCAAAATTTGCGAGCAACTAAACAATTGAAGAACAAGTGTTCAATCGTTTCTTCCTTTCGACCACAAACCGGGAAAATGGGAATTAAATCCACACCCCGCACCACCAACGCTTACCTTATCAGAAGAATTCGATGCAACCCTTGTCTTAAGAAGAAATGTAATTTAGGAGGAATTTTCCTGTTCCAAACCCAGTTCCATAATAAGCGATCCATGAAGGATGCCTGTTGTTTGCAGGAAGAAGGAGAACTCAACAAATTGGAAGCCAGCAGGTACACAGATTCAACTGTGAACAAACCCGATGATTCATAATGCCAAACAACCCTATCTGAAATGCGTTGATGAGGCAGAGGAGTCCCTTTAATAATTTGAACAAGCTTAATCAAAGTATAGCCGGAGCATGTGAATATTCCAACTCTTCAAACCTGGATCAATAAAAGCAGAAACAAAAGGAGCAGCAAAAGGAGATCCTGATCGAGGGAAAGGAATAGAAGGAGGATAGGTTGGCAACCAAGGATCGGATAGTGCCCGTATGGAGTATCCATCACCTACTTGCCAACGAAGCCCCTGAGAAAGTAAGTCTCTCCCAAAAAGAACACTGCGCCAACCCCATGAAGGATTGGAACCAAGAGATGCCTCCAAAATACTGCTCGAGGAGTGAAAGTACCTTCCACGATAGATGCGAGCCAATAACGAAGTAGGGTCCGTAAAAACCCTCCAAGCAACCTTAGCTAAAAGAGCTTGGTTAAAGAGACCAAATTCTCTGAAACCCAGCCCACCAACTTGTTTGCTCGAGCAAAGAAGCTTCCAAGAACGCCAATGAATCCTCCTATGTTCATGAATAGCCCCCCACCATAAGCGAGCCATGTGTGCATTAAGACGTCTAATTAACTTTGAAGGTAATCTAAAGCACGACATGATGTAAATGGGTAATGCTGCAGCAACAGATTTTAAGAGCACCTCTTTAGCTAAAGTAGAGAGTGATCTTTGCTTCCAACCTTGCAGCACATAAAGTAACTTTTCTTCTACGACACAAAAAGTTTCCAGCTTTGATCTCCCTAAAAGAGACGGAAGACCTAAGTACCGATCTTGCAAACCAATAGAACCCACTCCCAAATATGCACCAAGATCCTCTTGTTCCGATTGCAACGTATTAGGACTACAATAAACTGCAGACTTTTGCAAGTTCACTCTCTGGCCACTTATACTCTCAAAGTCCCGCAGTACCTGAAGAAGGAAAGTAGCATCCCTTCTAGAAGCCCGGAGAAACAAAAATGAATCATCGGCAAAAAGCAGATGGGAAACCGGAGGACACCTCGAATTGATACGAACCCCTTGAAGTTCACGACTGGAAATTCTTTTCTAATCATGCCAGTGAAGCCTTCAGAACAAAGAGAAAACAACAGAGGTGAAAGTGGATCACCTTGACGTAATCCACGAGAAGAGGAAAAGTAACCCGAAGGTTTGCCATTAACCAAAACAGAGAAATTAGCGGTTGTAATACATTCTTGAACCCAATGGATCCAAGTAGAAGAGAAACCCAATGGATCCAAGTGGAAGAGAAACCCAATTTCCGAAGGATTGCAAACAAGTAGGGCCATTCAATTTGGTCGTAAGCCTTCTCCATATCTAATTTGAGAGCCATAAAATGTTCCCTGCTAAGACGTTTATTCTTGATAAAGTGAACCAATTCATGAGCAATCAAAACATTGTCAACGATATTGCCTATCCTGAACAAACCCATTATGCTCTGGAGAAATTAAAGATGGAAGAAAAGAACCCAACCCGGTAGCGAGAATCTTTGTAATCACCTTGTACAAAAATTGACAAAGACTAATGGGTCGTAATTGAGAAGCTCTTTCCACAGTGTCAACCGTAGGGATTAAAGTTATCCAGGTGTGATTCATATTCCACAGAAGCTTACCAGTATGAAAGAAGGAACGAATGGCCTTGATGACACTGTCGCCTACAATCGACCAGAACGACTTGAAGAAGCAGCCAATGAACCCATCTGACCCAGACGTACTGAATTCCCCCAAGTGAAAGATAGTATCTTAATTTCCCCCTCAGTGACCTCTGCTGTTAATACCGAGTTCATTGCAGGTGTAACCAAAGGAGGGAGTGGCAGCTCATTAACTTTGGCTTCCACACGAGCTGTAAATTCTGATTCAGATGTCATTGTGGTGAAAAGATCCTGATAAAAGCCCACCATGATCTGTTGTTTTCCAGGTTCATCAGTGACCCATTGACCGGTTGAATTAAACAAATTATGGATCCAATTGCGACGTCGACGAGAGCGAGTGACAGTGTGAAATTAATTAGTGTCCTGATCTCCTTCACGAAGCCAACTAACTCTTGAACGTTGCCGCCAATATAGTTCTTCTGAAGCCCAAGATGCAGACACTTCCGATTCAATCCTACTTAACTCCGTCCAATCAACTGGATAAGAATTTCGAACGTGAGCTGATTCTTCGCGCAAGGTACGAATCAGACGAGAAGAATTAGAAGTCCCCTCATTGCGCCATTGGAAAATTCGATGCCAAGCATGCTTCATCCAACTCCATAGTTGAAAACAAGGTGAACCTGTGACATTAGTTTCCCAAACTTCCTTCACTATTTGGATGGCTTCAGTATTTTCCTTCCACCGGGCGTCAAACATGAAAAGAGGCTTGCCAGGAGCCTCTCAGCCGCCCACTTGAACCATAACGCATGATGGTCACTTCCTTCATCTGAGAGATGTTGCACTATACAATGAGGCCAGGAATCAATCCAAGTACCTGAAAACAGAAACCGATCCAACCTGCTATATATCATAGATGCATCTGAGTGCCTGTTAGATCAAGTAAATCTGGGACCAATGAAAGCCGATATCCATTACAAATTTCCTGAAAGGTAAGGATCTATTAGGATCATATGGTCTGCATCCAATTTTTTCATTCGAATGAAGGAGATCATTAAAATCCTCAAACACTATGAAAGGCACAGCTAAGAGAGAACAGTAACGAGATAAATAAGTAAGCTGATTCCTTCGAACAGTGTCATCACATGAAAGATACACAAACACAATTACACAACTTATATTCCCAACACATAAACGTAAAGCAATGTAATAATAGTCTTTACAAAGAAACGAAATAGAAACATAATCAGCCCACGCAACTACAAAACCTCCCGACGTACCAACCGGATCAACAATACTACAATCTACATAACCTAATGAACAAATCACACCATCTACATAAGAACGACTATTACAAGTTTCAGACAAACATAAAATACTAGGAGCATAGCTACGAACGAGCCCTTCCAAAGCTTGAACTGTCAATGCTGGACCCAAGCCTCGACAATTCCAAGCCAGTAGAGTCATTCAATACTCTGGGGCCATTTGTTGCTGGCTTCCATCACAATTCCCATAGATTCATCTTCCTGATCTGCCGAATCCATATGCTGCCTCTTTGCTGGAGGGTCTTCTTCTGTACTAACTGGAGCTGAACTATCAACAAGACCAGCACCTTCCATAGGACGATTGTCCAAAAAAGGTTGTGGCTGACCAGCTTCTAAGCATCTTTGTTGTCCCACCATTTCATCATGGGAACGCTTGTTATCATCCACAATCAGATCCTCATCAGATATACGCATATGAAACACTGGAGTAAAGCTTGAGGAGCCTCGATCCCTTACGTCCTCTTCCTCATCAGACTCATCCTCAGTTACTATGGCCTTGCCTTCACCTTTAACATGTACATTTGTAGAACAACCGGCCAATGGAACAACTACTAATTGCACTTCCGAAATACGAACTGGAGGTACAACCATACGAGTAGCATTTTGGAAAGAAGTAGACCTGCTATGAGGACGGGGAGTAGCACTCAGAACCAATGGACCAACACCTATCCCCGTCGTAGCTGTACGAACAGTCTGATGGATCCATGGATCAGGATCCACCGGATGCGAAGGCCTTCCCTGCGCAACTTGACCACGAGGAGCAGCAGCACGAGATCGAGGATTAACCCATGTATATCCGCGTCCTCTACCACGTTGAGAAATAACTATATGCCCAACCGAAAGCAGGGTATGCTCATTAAGCAGCATGCCATGAGGAGAGGACGGACAGACATTGAAGGATCATAAACTTCTGATCCCAGATTCTCATTCTGGCCAAACAAGCGAGAATGCAGAGGAGCATCAACATTAATAAAAACCTTCAACCGATCTCCCGCCTATCAACCCCACCATCTAAGTGATCAGCAAAACGTCTCCCTAGATGCAAGGTACAAAGATGGGGAGGAATGGCAGACATATAAGCCTGGAATGGCACACGAGCCATGTCGTGGAACAATTGATCAACAATCGGACTCCACGGATTGATACGCAGAAGAAACTCCGTAACAGTCCAGGGAGAACGACGAACCATTCTCTCACGAACACAAAAATCCGAGACAATGAATCGCCAAAGCCCTCTATCAGCCTCAAGAACGATAATGGGATGTTCTGCTGTCCCCCAGCTACCATTGGCAATGCGCTCCAGAGCAACACGAGACAGAGGATGAAGAGAGAAGAGCCGAATGACAAGGGTCGGTTGAGCTTGAACTGGACCGAGTTCAACATCTGCGTCATCAAAGGCAACCACCTGATCAATATCCATGGGCTCCATTGATGTAACCAGACGACGAACGAAACGAGTTGATATCCAATTAACAGCCAAAGCAAGGCTAAAGTAACCACTGAACACCCGGAAAAGAATAGCAACTGAAACATGCAATTTCCAGAGGGTGGCAGTTGCCGATTTTGGAGAAATAGTTTTCCCCGAACAGAAGAGTTTTTTAAAGAAAACTGAAAAGAATTGAAACCCTGCGCTGTTGATACCCACGGCTGCTGAGGAAACCACTCCCATTCTAGAGACCGTGATTCCGAAAGAACAGGCGCCGGAGATTCGGCGGATATAGTGACGACGATTGCCCAATCGAAAGTGAAATCCCAATCGCACAGACAAAGCATTTTTTCCACCCACGATCAAACGGCTCAAGTAACCCATCAATAATCAAATATAGACCCTTCATTTAGAAAATTCAGATCTAAAGATGGAGAATTAAAGACCATTTTTATTTTTTCTAACTTTTTAATCGACTCCTATCTTCTTCGTTTTAACTCGGATTTTAATTTTTTTTTTGCACAGGTGAAACGAGTTCATTGTGATCTACAAAATGAGATCTATTTTCAATATTTTTTGAGAAAAAAAATTGTTGCCTCTCGGTACCAACTGCATACCATATGGTATTTTCTTCGTTTTAATTCGTTTTTGAAAACGTTTGCACAGAAAGGACGAGTTCATCATGATCTATTGGATCTACAAATTTCTGGGTGAACAAATTACATGACCAAAAAATACCACACAATACCACCTTGGTACGAGGTGGTATCTTATGGTATACAATGTTAAAAGTCGTAAATGACAGTTAATATACTTCTACTATCATGTATTCAACCATCCTACAGTCTTGGTTTCTTCATACCACCAAAGTACGTTTTTCAAACCATAGGTATACTCTACAAATGACTCAATTTTTTTTGTTTGAAAAATATATCAAAGTGGATAACATTTTGAAGAACAAAATTAATCTGATCTAACTGTGTAAAAAAAATTAAATTTCGTCTTAAAACGAGTGAGAAATCGTCCGTCAAAGACTAAGGAGGAGAAAATTAAAGACCTTCAAAGAAAGGAATGGTGATGTGTACGGATTACTCATGGTTCCTCCATAAGATTACTGACCCATCCGTTGCTCAATCAAACAGTCCAATTCCGTTTTCCGTTGATACGTTTCTTTCTCCCCTGATGAGAACAGAAAACCAAAATGGTGATGAGTTAATGGGCTCAGAACGGAAGCCCACCCAAGAATGGCAGCTCCATGTCTCGGTAAAAGAAAAAAAGTTTATGCTCGTAGGGTTGGAGGATTTTTGAATCTATCCCCCAACTCCAAGGTTACTTCCAGAGTTCCAGTCCTCCCAGTCCCAGCTCCAGCCAAAACCTCGGTTTGTTTGAATTTGACTTCCCCGTCCAAAACCAAAATACAATGGCCGCCTTCACCGCCGCCGGAAGATCCTTTTTCCGCTCGTCGTCCTCCGCTCGCAATACGGCGGCCCGTTTTGCCTCCCAAACCAAGGCCACCCCAAAATCCTCTCCAGCTTCCTCCTTTAGTGCTTCCGCCAACAAGCCTCTCTCTCGACCTGCCTTCAGGTAGGCATTATTTATCCACAACTGCAGATTGGTTCTGTAATTGAATTGTTGCAAGTTTCTTCCTTTTCTTTTTTTCCATGTCCGTTGTTTATGATTTCTTTCTGTTTTTGGGTTGGGGACGCAGATTTCCAGTCGAGATGAGCTCTGCTGTGGAATCCATGTTGCCTTACCACACTGCCACTGCTTCAGCACTGATGACCTCGATGCTTTCCATCTCTCAGCGCAATTATGGTTGGCTTCCCGAAGGTTTAACCTACTTCTACTGTTTTCAGCTCAACTATATTGGATTGTTGTTTCTCTTGTTTCGGAGGAGTAATTGTTTGCTTAGATTGCTGAAATGCTCTGGAATCGGGTGCTTGAATCGTTGTAGGTTCTCCTTATTTGGTGTTTTGATTTGTATATGTTCATTATATGCATGATTGATTTCAGTATCCCGGGGGTGATTTCCCTGTATGTTCAAACCATTAAGGAGTGATTGCTTGAGCTGTTGTTTGGATAGCATTCTTTGCTGAAAGCCTGAAACTTCAGGTGCATAGATCATAAGGATTGGGGTGTCCTATAATTAGCTTGCTGTTGCTTCTTTGTTTAGTGTGTTTTCCTAGAGAACCGGTCATGCTTGTAGGTTGCCTAACTGGTTAATCTTCTCTTTGCCATAGGTATCTAGCAACGTTTGCCCCCTTCCTTGATGTTCTTTTCTTCCTTTTGGCTTAATGGTAAGTTAGTGCTTGCTGGATTTAGGCCATTTAATAAGCAAATTATATAAATTTACACACCAGAGCAGTTGCAGATGTTACTCAATCACACTTCTTATCGGCATTAACCTTTTCCCCAGATCTAGTGCACCGTTAACTTAGGCCATGCATTTGAGTCCTCTGGTTTCCGTTTCATCTAGTTCTTTTATGTTTTTGTTTGCAATGAAACAGTAAGTAGGAGTTCTAATTGCTGTGCTCAATTTTCCGTCTGAATCAATATGTACTCTTTTCATGTTGTAGGACGAGTCAAGACTAGATGATCAAGGAGAAGCAAAGATGTAAATACTTGGGTTTAGTAGACTATTGAACTCTTAGAAAGTTAGGCAAAATTGGCATATCAGATGTAAAGTGTCAAACTTGATGTTTAGTGATTGAAGTTTTGGAAAAATACATGGCTAATATGTTTTGCTGTAAGAATCTTAAATAAAGCCGATATTGCCGTCTTTAGATTGTGAAATTTTGAGGAGAACTTTTTGTTTCACAGTGTGCATTTTCCCTTTAATAGTCAAATCCATTCAAAGATTGAAGGATCCTGTACATGTGGAAAATCGTCTTTTTGTGGCTTGCTATAATACCGGGTGCAGGTCTTGTGTCGAAAGATGTGATTTGAATTTAAGATGGCCGATAGTGCTCTGATGATGTGCTTGGGTCTCTCTTGGCTCTTTGGAATCACTCTGCCTCTTGGGGGGCAGTTTCTTGTTCTTCCTTAGCAGTACGATGGGGGTTCAAATTGTCATCCGAATGGTTTGATGTTGTTATAAGACCATCTATCGGATGCCTGATTAGTTGGTAGAGTGACTGATAGTTGTGTCAACTCGTTTACTTGCAGTTTTAAATTGTACTTGGGGTGTTCTTCATTAAGTACTAGTTTGAAAGGAACCAACCTGACTATTTTCCTTCCCATCAGCTTGCAATGACGATGTGTGATGAATATTCAGAGGATTCAAGCAACTTTAATGCAAATAGACATTTAGAAGTTCTGAGTGAGCCTGGAGGGGCGAGTTGGATTGTGTGAGTTTCCAAACCCAGATAATAAGTTGCTCTCAGTACCCCAAAGACACCACTGACCTTTTTGAGTTTCGCATTTAGAATGTTGATGTGGACAGATGTATTAGTGCTGATGGAATTCATTCTTAATCTTCACCTTTCTGTTCTTTTCTTGCCAAGCATTTTCATTATTCTGTTGCTGGTTTCACACCAATGGACATACTAATTAATCTTTATACATAACCAGCTTGCAATGATGATGTATGATGATGAATGTCAAATGGCTTCAGAAGAAGTTTCGTAGGGGAATCCTTTTCGAGTGTTCACTGAGCGCCCTAGAAATGGCACCAGGGGATTTTATCGGATTGATGTTATTATCTGTGTAGTAGACTAGAAGGCAAACGAACATAACTGTGAAGAGCTAATGCACTACTCTTCTTCGATGTTTTCTTTTATTTAGTAGTGCGGCTTTAAATACCCAAAGCGTTCTTTCTGTTTCTACTCTCTGTATAAATGCTGGTGATAGTACTGAACCCAGGGCCAGGAGAATGGCCATTTTGTCTGTTTTGTTTTCTTGAACATCAGTCTGTCTAGTGTTTTTGCCTGGTGCCAATGAGTCGCCTTCCCGTACCAAAAACATTGACAAGATCGATCCTCAAGTGAGTCAACTGCCATAGGGATATAGCTTGATGGATTTCTAACTCTTTTTGCCATCTGGTCTGGTTATAAGGCTGTAATGAATCTGTGAATCTGGCATGGAGTCCTTCCTGATATTAACATCGTCGTTTGCTTTGGATGATCATCATTTGAGAGCGGATAGTGATCAGGGGAACGATGGATTGGGCAAGTTGAAACTGCCAGGACAGCTTTTGCTTCTTTCTAAGATGTCATTCGTTGGATTTTTTAAATAAAAAAGTCAAGGGCTAATACCACTACAACATCCTAATTATTGAAAAAATGCCACTTGTATCCCGATTTATTCAATATTCCATTTATGTCATGAACTATTTTTCTGTTAAAGTTGACTTGTTTTGACCGTTAATTTTTAACAGAAAGTCCAATCAACATTGATGTGGCACATGACATGGAATTTTAATTTATTTAATACAAAAATTAAAATAAAAAAATGATGAAAATAAAAATAAAAAACGTTTCATCTCCACCATTCACTCCCTCAACCCTTTCTCTCTCGTTTACCCTTACTCTCCCATAGATCCGACAGCAACGAGCCTTTTACGGCACCTGCTTCTACTCCTCTCAACAACGACAACACCACCATTAGCGGAAACTTCTTGCCTCTTCTCGTCCCTAACCAGCTCCTCCCGTGAACAAATTTAAGCAAGGTATGAAGAAAGTGGGAGAGCAATGGATTGGGATGGCGACGATGGCGGAGGCTACCCAGAAACCCAGCTACCCAGAAATATCCGATCCAATGCATTTGAGGTTTTATTGGTACGATTGAACGACGATCGATGTTGAAAAATCCTCCCTAGAACCCTCCTATTCTATGCTCTGCAAATTAGGAAAATAAAATTGATAGGGCAAAAGCTCAATGCTTCAATTCCTATCTTGTAGTATCCGGAAATCCGGGTATCGTCTATCAGGGACTGGTACAACCTTATGTTCTATCGATTTTATGAAGCAGGCTATAGGTGGAAATGGTTTGAATGGTGAAACTATTATCTAATAGCAAATTAAAATGGTCGGGAGAAATTCAATGGAGAAAGCTCTGGGAGAAACACCGAGACTCGCTACCTATCATATCCAAATTAATTCACATATTCCAATCAGTTTAATCCATCTCTACAGCCAGGATATCACTACTGTGCTAACTATCTCTGTCGGGAATTACTACGTACTAATAATTAATTCAAATCCTACTGTCGTAGCTCAATGAATTAACTGTTTAGCCTGAAAATCGATATCCTAATCAAGACCGCATAGTATCTTATTTAATCCACTGTCGCTTCGATAAAGTTACTATGTCACACGAAATATGTTCAGTTTTTAGGGTTTCACTGTCGCTAATTACCTAATTAACTACAAATCATGTATTGGTGGCCAGTCAACACAAAGCATTAAGCAATTCCATGCAATAGAGATTGAAAGAAAAGAAATATGAATCAATCCATCAAGTATAGAAATAGCTACATCCTATGGTGTTTCCCCAGAAATTGGGGTTTAGTTCATGACGAAAATAAAACACACAATCATGTTCATAATCATTATTTCACGAATCGAAACAAAAGGAAAAGAATACTGAATTTGTCGAACATAATCCGGCTACAATTCCTTCTTGCTCCAATCGCCACTCTGCTGCTCCGCGCTCTGCGACTCTCTGCGTTCTCTGCGTTCTTGTTCCAATCTCCAATTCCCCCCCCCCCCCCTTCTCTTCCAATATAATTCCCTGTCAATTCCATGTCCCAGGCGAACAAGATGCTTGGGCCGGCCCAGTCGCAATTCCCAGCCGGAATTCCCTATATCACACAGTGGACTTGGTCCAAGAAAATCAAAAGAATGGCCCTGCCAAATATATTTTCATCCCCAGTAACATACATGTCCTCCTGGTCCAAATAATTTCAAGAATGACCCTCTCTCTATCCGCCTTCCACTTCACTCCACAATAAGCCCAGGACAAAGGACTTGGTCCAATTAATTGCTCTCTCCTTTAATTAGTCTCAAACGCCTTTGTCCCTTCATCCAATTGGGATATATGAAGAATCTGGTGTTCGACTTATTTGTCTCTTTGTGCTTCACTCGTTTCTTGTTTTTCCACCTAAAATATTTCAAAATTCTAGCACAAGGTAGTAATGGTTTTGCAACCATTCCATAATCAATTGGCCTTAAAACAAGTATCATATGTCTCAAACATATCATAAAATAATCATATTAAGCATATGGAAACAATATGTTTTCGACAATTATAAAAAATAAACATTCAAAAGCAGTGGCGGATTTGGGCGCCGTTTTCCGTCGAGTACCACCACCGACGATCCCCCAAAATCCCCGAGCTCAGATTTGTCTCCACTGCTCGCGGCTCGTCCAACCAATGTCTTCTATGCCTTTGTCCGGTTTTCCCGCTCTACTATCCAGCTGCCGCCACTCTTCGATCTCGCGCCCCTCGTCGCGACGGCAGCCAGGGGAAGTCATGCCTGTCTCTGTTGGCCTTTCTTCGCCGGAGTCTTCTTATTCAATTTTTTGGACGCTCTTCCCACATCCAAAGTTGCCTTGGATGGATTCTTTGTTTGATTCTTCTTTCTATTTTCAATAAGTTTTCTGGCTTGGAGATATTTTATAGAAAGAGAGTGCGAATTGGTAGGGAAGAAGAATAATGAGATTTGTAATTATTTTTTTTTTAAATTTTGGCTTAATAATATAATTGAATTTACAGTTTTTTTAATTTTAACTCAATTTTTGTTTAATTTGAATTAGAAAAATTGAGGTCAGTGTCGTGGGCCTCGTGGCATCTATGTGGCAGCCACATATTTTGCCACGTTAACAAAAGTCAACTTCGCATTGACCACCGTTTGGTCAACCGTTATCTTTAACGGTTAACGATATTGACAGGATACAAATGACATAAAGTATCATAGTTGAGGACATGAATGTAATATTTAAATAATAAGACACAAGTGACATTTTTTCGATAGTTCGTGTGTTGTAGTGGTATTAAGTATTAACCCAAAAGCCAATTGTTTATATTATAGATTTGGTGACTTATTTTACATGGACTTGTTGCATAGATCGATAGTAAAAATGGATTTTAACCTCTTCAACCAAATCAACATATATGTACGGACTAGGATTTACAAGTTGTGAGGTCTCTGAATTTGGATAAAAAAGTTTAAATTTGTGAACCCCACAAATATCACTCATTAACAAACAATTAGACTTTGACAAAATCCATCATGATTGAAATTTGGTCCCAAATCCATGACCCAAATCAAACAAGTAAATGTCTCCTTAATTCTTGTTATCCCATCCTCTTATGTTTAATGTTTTAGAAACTGTACACTATCATTCGATGCCAACGAAAATACCTGGTACCATACCCCAAACGGTTGACAATTTTAGTTGTAAGAAGCAGCTTAATCACGATTTTAGTACAAAATATCCTACCAGTGACTTTTCTTATATAACTTCTGGTACGGTTCACAATCCTTGCTTCTGTTGTGCTGGCACCCATCAATGAGATCATCCAATTTTTATAATTGAAATCAACATTCTTAAAACTACCTTATATCTTGTTATAATGTCTTGTTGGTAAGGGATTGAATACAAGCAAAAAAGTGTGTTCCATACTTCCATCCTCGTTCCACCCACCATTGCTTAATTTTTGGAACGAGAAAGGTGCAATGGAAGTAATCCAAGCAGACACCAGAGTTTTATTTGTTAATGCCAACGTTGTTGAGGCTCCACTTTATTACCATGAAGATTTCAACCCCATATAGGTTAAAAGTTTGGAGGAGGGTTGCATCGTGGTAGTCTCAAGTGCCAAGGTAATGAACAAGACATATTTAGAAACATTATTCAAGATCATGAGACCATAGATGTTTTCTTTGGATGGTCCACTTAAGTATGGAACAAGTATTAATGGTTAATAAGCCACCACAAGACAAAGTGTTAGGGGACGCTGAAGTTACGACCTTGAATGGCAATGTGGAAGTCTTAATTAAGTTACAAGTATTGCCTAAATGGCGGTGTTATGAGCTACTAGAGTTCAAGGCCAGAAACCAATGTTGATACTATAGCAAAATCAGAGTAAATTGTCTCTTTAAAAGTCGCCAATAATGCGGGAAATGTGAGGGTGCTAACACTTTTTTTCTTAGTATGGTCCTAATACTAGCTCCAACCATAATTAATGAGGGAAAGGAAAGGAGAGGCACGCTACTCAGTAATAAAAAGCGGGAGACAGGGCCAACATGTCTTGTGCATTTAATTGAGAAAGAGGCGGAGGACCACCGAACATAGACCACAAGAAACCACACCACAAAAAGACCACAACTACAAGTTTATAAAAGCATACCACAAGTCCCATGAAGTAGACCACAAATCCCATAAAGCATTTTATTAAAGCATACCACAATTTTATTAAAACCCACCATCGAAAAATGGGCGACTAGTGTAAGTGGGAGATTATTAGGATACATGTCCAAAAACCAAGTCATGGAGAGTGTATGTTAGGACACATTTGGTAATCTATGTAATAAAATCAATTAATAAAGGCTAGCCATTGGTTGTTATACAAATTGTGTTGTGTTTGGATGGAATAATAGACTTCTAACCATAGGATCAATTTCTTAAACGTCTCTGGTCAAGTATGATGTTGATTAGGGTTGACACACATGTATAGAGACTAGTATGTAAAGATAGCTAACATGTGGATGTGAATTGACATATAGCCATTGAGGTAGTGGTGTATAACCAAAGTGTTGGATTGACCCCAAGGTGAGACATGAGACATTGATACCCGCATATGAGGATAGTTCTCATGTGATCTCACTGTATTCTGAGTAAGTAAAAATCCCTAAACTTGAGCTTTTAAGAGGTTACCTACATCTTAGTATCCAAATTTAATAATATGCTCGGGGAAACTATTGAGTGCACTAAGTGGGTAGTCATTTGTATGGATCTAGGTATGCAACGGATCTATCAAAACAAGATAAATGATTATCCCTCCTAACCAAAGGAGTAAGATATCATCGGGTCCTTCGATGGATAGTGTGTAAGAAGTGATTCGTCTATCCCAATTCAA